TAACAAATTCTTCTATATGCAAGTGGGTAAAAAGCTGCATGGCAAAGCAGATTTCTTCACACTAACAGCAGCCTATTTGATTATAGAGTGCAAATGACTCCTATTTCTGTTTAATCTAATAAGTCTGCCTGCGCTTGTTTCAACAGGCATTTAAAAACACTTAATTGGACTGGCAGTGTGTGAGGCAGGAGCGAGAATTATGACGCCAGGTTTTGGCTTGTTGCTACCAACCAGAAAAAGAAGGTTAAAAAATGTTAATTAATTGAACAATATAAAGTGGAGGGGCTGAGAAATTAGATTTTATTTTCCAGTCGAAGCGTTTAAGTCAGGTCAGGTGAAATCTTTATAGTTAAAATGGCCACTGATGCTGTAGTATAAAGCTGGAGAAATTATGATGACTACAATAAAACAGAGACCTGACACCCCACACACAAGTATTATTTCCACCAAAACATTGATTTATTTTTGTCTTGACAGTCATAAAGAAGCATATATTGTGCTACTGAGTAGGTACAGGGAGCACACTGGATGACAGAGAATGATTTGAGTCATGCCATTAGGCACAGAATTCTCAGAGTTTTCAATTTTTACTGCATCAAAACAGAAACAGACATCCATCAGTAATGTGTCTCTGTGATTTATGCAACAGTTTGCACAAACAGGGCAAACTAATCAAGGAAAAATGTTACATTTGTATGCCATGGCAGATGGAAATACATCAGCAATTAGAAGTATAAAGTTTGCAGAGAGCGCTGGAGGTGAGTGAACTTTATAAGAGTGAGATGAATTCTATGTGAGCCAAGACTGACCTGAAAACTGATGAACTGGAACATAAACTTCACCATCAAGACACACCATACTGTTTTACTGTTTAAACCATTTTTACATTGCTCCTGCCACGTGACGCTGACAGTCCCACTTCTGGAAGCACTGTAAAAATCAAACATGGATAAGGATAATAATATATAATAGTAATTGGTCTCCCTGATTATTAGGAACCAGCAATGGAAATTGCTGTGGGAACTAAAAAGCAAACAAACAACATATGGGTCGACCCCTACTGTAATCATCTCTCCTGCCTCCTGTTCTTTTTGGCCATAAAAAGATCCCTTTCTAGAGGCAGTAACACAAATAGGAAATGAAAAAGAAACAAAAGCCTATTAGCTTCAGGTGAACTTTGGAATGTATTTTGCACAGAACTGTTATGATTTAGCTTTGCTTCCTGTATTTGTGTTTACCCCGTCTCTCCTCGCTGTTCAGCCATCATGCCGTTTACCTGCCGCTCATCATCTCCCGAGTATTTAGTTGTTTTTGAGTTCTAGTCGCCACTTCCATGTACTGCTACTCTGCTTACCTGACTGCCTGCTGCGTGACACCTCCCGGTCCTCTGGTTTCTGCGTCCCTCCTGTCAACTCACCTGCCCGTCCTCTGGTTCCTCACCTTACCTGTCCCCTGTTGCCCACTGCACTTCCTGCCAGCCCTGAGCCTGCTTGACTTTCTGCCACTCAGCATAACTTGTTAAATAAACTTCTTTCTATAGTTCCTACTCCTGTAGATTCTGTGTCTGCATCTGGGGTCCACACCACACCCATCATAACAAGAACAAGGACAGAGTTTCGTCCCTCACTGCTTACATTTGAAGTGCTAACATTAGTGAAGGATCTCTGCATTGCAAGTATGAACAGGAGGAAAGATTACAACAAGCAAAAACTGTTTTACTGTTCATGTGGGCGCTTGACTATTGTTTTAAGACAAACAGAAAAATTGTGATGTTACCTTTTAAACTATCAGTTGTATTTCCTAAATGAGGACTATAAACAGCCCCACAATCTGAATGTGTCTGTGCTTTAAATAAATACAAGTGACAGACAAGTCCCTCTTTGCCACTGTCTATATTACACACACACACACACATACAGAAACCTAACTGAAGAACTAGATTAAGCAAAGAAGATGG